TAAACATACTATTGCAAATACAAACACACTCATGATATGTACATACTAAAGACACGCAGACATATTACATGTATACACACACTCAAGGTAAACATTTAAATACACACACTCCCACATACATACTACACAAACACACACATACTGCCTAAATAAACGCAATGATACAACATGATTACACATACACTGAATTCAACCCATAACCAGGTATATTTCCTTTTGAAAATGAACCTCCCACACATTACCATGTTACTGCCTTTTAGAAATTCTGTAGAACATGTGCTTTTAAAACACGTAAAATCCATTCATTCAAGCCTGATCTTGCTTATACAAGTGTTTTTAATTGTTATCTATCTGACAAATGCTAAAGTTAATGATGAAAACAATAGCAAAATTAACATACAAACAACAAAATGTATTAATGCCATCTTAGCACCTGAGGAGCCGGAAAAAAATGAGTGAATATAATAACTTGCATATAGAACATACAGGCCTCTCATTGAGAAAGCAAAATAGTTAAACTTGCTGAAAGGAAACTTGTATAATATATGATTCAAAAGGGACCGCTTCTGAAAGAATCTATAACTGCACCAAAGAAGAGAGGGAAGTAATGATGTTAAAAAATTTCCTGGCTGAAATATCAAAGGAGACCACCAAAGGGAAAGAAGGAAAGAAAAAGACATGAAACACATTCATTCCTGAATATACACAGGACATACGCACACGCTCGCCTGCACAAACACACACACACACACATATACGTATACATATGTATACATACATGTGTGTGTGTGTGTGTGTATGTATGTATTATGTATATGTTACACACACACACACACACACACACACACACACACACACACACACATATAATATATATATATATATATAATATATAATATTATATATATATATATATATATATATATGTATATATACATATACACACACACACACATATATATCTATATGTATACAATCACACACACAAACAAAAACACAAGCATTTATGCATGTATGTTTGCATATTTATTCGTTTCAAAGGAATACCTATAAAAATATTTGACCGCTCTGACTATTTCAAAGAGTTGGGCTTAATGATGTAAAGAAAAATAAATATTTGTTTAAATACTTCACGGTATATATGTATATATATACACACACATACACACACACACACACACACACACACACACACACCTACACAAACACTAACACACACACACACACACACATACACAACACTAACACACACACACACACTACACAAACACAACACACACACACACACACACACACACACACACACACACACACACACACACACACACACACACACACACACACACACACACACACATATATATATATATATATATATATATATATATATATATATATATATATATATATATATATATATGTGTTGTGTGTGTGTGTGTGTGTGTGTAAACATATATTACACACTTATACAACATTCATATACATATACATAATATATATATATATATATAATATATATATATATATATATATATATATATATATATATATATATTACATATATATAGATATAGATAGAATAGATATATATATATATATATATATATATATATATATATATGTGTGTGTGTGTGTGTGTGTGTGTGTGTGTGTGTATGTTGTGTGTGTGTGTGTGTGTGGTGTGTGTGTGTGTGTGTGTGTGTGTGTGTGTGTGTGTGTGTGTATGTATGTATGTAAGTATATATGCATATATATATATATATATATATATATATATATATATATATATAATATATATATATATATATAATAGTATATATAATGTCATTCTATATATATATTTCTCTATTCTACATTCTTTACATAATCTTGTCACTTACGTATATTCACACACAGCAACACAAACACACACGGATATGAGCAAGCATTTACGCAAGATCATTTACTTGTCTAATCATCTTTTCTTGTCACAATAGACATTCCAAACTATGTTGTCCACCCCCCCTTAAGAGCTATGTTTATATAACTAGCTTTCTCTATTAGCGACTGTCCCATGGTAGACGTGTGATTTGTACCCATCATTAGACATGACATTATATATGACATTAGACATCCTTATACAATATGACAGACATCCTGTGCAGAGACAAGGGGTAAAAAACACATCTTGTCTCCTTTAATTCAGAAATAAAGTCATTTTGGTTGTCTACCTGAAACACTGAGCTTTTCATCTACTATATTCTTCTTGGGTCTATCTCATGGGTTCTACGTCTTTGGTTGGTACTGCTTAGAGAGAGAGAGAGAGAGAGAGAGAGAGAGAGAGAGAGAGAGAGAGAGAGAGAGAGAGAGAGAGAGAGAGAGAGAGAGAGAGAGAGAGACAGAGAGAGACAGAGAAAATAAAACACCCCACGACTTTCACAGTAAATACTGCTAAGAGAGAGAGAGAGAGAGAGAGAGAGAGAGAGAGAGAGAGAGAGAGAGAACGAGACAGAGACAGAGACAGAGAGAAAGAGAAAGAGAGAGAGATAGAAAATAAAACACCTACGACTTTCACTAGTAAATACTGCTAATGAGAGAGAGAGAGAGAATAAAACACCTACGACTTTCACTAGTTAACACTGCTAATGAAAGAGAGAAAGATTGAAAGAGATAGAGAGAGATAGAAAGAAAGAGAGAGAGGGAGAGAGAGAAACACAAAAATGAGCGAAAATAACGGAAGCTAAAACACGCCTGGCAATATTCACAATACTTTTCGACACTTTCTTTGTGCAGAAGATAAACTTTCCTCGCCTAACAACACATGAAATGCCATGGGAGAGCAATCATGTAAAAAAAGTTGTTGACTGAATTTACATAAATCGGGAATTCGCAGATATGAAAACACGACATAAAATAAGTATCTAAAAACATTCGGTCAAAAATAATATTTTGGGTTTCAGAATCATACCAGCGGTCTAAATGATATATAGCCTATATAAAGAATTAGAGAAATAAATAAAAAAATAAAAGAGAGTATTTACTTTTTTTTTTTTGGGGGGGGAGCCATTTCTGGAGGAAAATGGAACACTTAACCATAAAATAGTCCTTACAATAAAGGTAAAACAACATATGACAAAGAGAAAATAAACATAGGAATTTTATTTCACTTCTTTTTCATTTTTAGTTACTGAACTTTTAATCGTTTAATCAAGCGTGAGAAATGAGGATAAATATGAAATGAATATTGAATGAACTGGGTTATATCAACACTCGCAAGTAATGCAGAAAGAAGAAGAAAGATATATGTTGATAATAAAAGAAGAAAAGAAGACAAGAGATAAAAAGAAATGTAATAATAAACACACTGTATAGATACATTATATAAACAAATATATAAATACAGTTTTTTTATCAGATGACAATGTTATGCATACTTCTTCATATATTAACTATGGTACACGTTACGTTATATATATATATATATATATATATATAATAT